TATTACCAGCGTATTTTTGCTTGCAGTGCGCTGTCGTTTCTTGACCCCCGTCACATTCTCTTGCCTCCCCCCCCCACTTCCACTTCCACTGTTCTGTTTTGTTCTGTTCTACTCTGTTCTGTTCTGTCTTACAACCACTGACCATGTACGTTCGTGCGCCGGTTTTGGTTGCTGTCTTTTGGTTGTCAATTTGGATAAAACAACAGAATGATGATTCAAATGTGGAGAGCAGATTTAAGCGGAAGCTAGCGTATTTACACAGACTGATGTTACAAGAATAATGAGTAGATGCATGAGCACCACTGTTTGCGACACCCGGCCATATCGCTCAGTGTTTCTAACCGTCGGTGACCCTGATCTCAATGTTCCCAGCCAGGGAGCCTAACGGAACCTGTGAGCGGTCTCCTGGTTAGGGTTTTCATTCCGTCATGCCACGTCTTAGTTTGACCGCCCTTGATCGTTTTCCAATCACTACCTGCCTCGGCAAACATCGCTCTCCGTGGCAACCTATTTGGTAACATGCGTAACACATGCCTCAACCACCGTAATCTATGGAGGTCCACTACTTGCTCTAGTGGACTACCGCGACTGCCTAAAATCCTACACCTAACCTCAGCATTGCTCGTCCGGTTTCTCCACCAGACTCGTGCAATGCTGCGTAGACAGCGGTGTTCGAACACCGACAATCTATTTTTATCCTGTTCCCTTAATGACTAAGGTTCTGCACCGCAAAGCAGAACTGACCGAACTGCTGCAGCATCTACTCGACCCTTCACAGACAACCGGATGTCGCGACGGCACCACAAATGTCTCAAGTTGACAAATACCAATCGAGCCTTTTGTATGCGAGCAGATACTTCATTTGAGATGCGTCCGCCAGGTGAGATATAGCTGCCCAGGTAGCAACATTTGTCCACTTCCTCTACTATTTCTCCGGTCAGGGTGAGACTGGGTGCTGGGCCAACCTAATCTTGTAGTAGCATTTTACACTTTGAAGGTACAAAACGCATACCGAACATGGACACACTAGCACTCAAACTATCCAGAAAAGCTTACAACTTACCTGGATCTTCACTTAGTAGCACAATGTCATCTGCATACTCTAGATCAGACAGTCTGCCACCTGAGAGTAGATCGATGCCGCTATCGTCGCATGAGGATAGATCTGTTTCAAGAATAAAATCTATGACAAAGTTAACTGGAAATGGAGAGAGAGGGCAAACCTGTCGAACACCAATTTCTGTAGTGAACTCAGGTGAATCAGTGCCGTTAGCTCGGACTCGACTTCGGCTGTTATTGTAGAGGGATTGTACTACTGAAATAAAGTTCTCCGGCACACCCTTCACTGAAAGGCAGTACCAGTGTTTAGAGCAGTCGACTGAGTCGAAGGCCGCTTTCAGGTCGAGGAAGATGGAAATGGTGAGTCTACGAAAAGAGTGTCTATGTTCTAGGATATGACGAACAGTGAAGATGTGGCAGATACAACCTCGACAAGGTCTAAAACAAGCCTGGTTCTCACGAGTGTACTCTTCACGAGCAGCAAACAACTGACGGAGTATGATCCCGGCGAGAAGTCTGGAGACAATGTTGATTAAACTAATTCCTCTGTGGTTCTCAAAAGACGAATTGTCATCCTTCTTGTAAATCGATATGATCACCAACTCACACCATTCAGTTGGAACCTGTTCTCTTTCCAACACTCAGTCCGGGAGTTTTGTTAACTCCAAATCCAAGGCTAAACGTCCATCCTTAAAAACCGATGGAGACAGCCCGTCGGGGCCGGAAACCTTATACCTACAAGCTACTACAGGCATGTGAAAACCGTTCCTGTGCATCAGACATATTTTGATTTAAGTTGACTTGAAAGGAAAAGTACTCATTTTTCGATAATCATGTAAGTGAAACTCGTTGATGTAACACTTATGGTAAACTGTTCATCATCTATAACCCCAAGACAGAACTCAAAACACATTGCGTGTGACCAGTTCCATTAGAATGTTCATGAGAACAAGAAGAAACACCATGATCACAGGATGTTTTAAATTCAACTATTTCGTGATAATCTCATCAGGATCGCCTGGAATGTGCAGGCATAGAAAAAGCTTTTGTGTCTTGATCCGCCAGACGGGTAGTCGTCTACTGTGGTTCAATGAGGCTGCTACCAGTTACTGTTACAAACCGGACTTGGATAAACAGTACATTGGTGGCTAGCCTCAAACTGCCTCGATAGGTGTTACACTCCCTTCCTCGTATGCCCAATGAGGTTCGAATTAGTGACCTCTGGTCTTCGTATTGATTGATCACTTTTCCCCGTACGTGTTCGCTTGTCTCCAGATCTGTCACTCTTTTAACCAAACGTGACCTGAATGTGTGTATACAGCTTACCACGAAATAACTGAATTCAACACAACTCCTGTGATCATGATGGTTCTTCTTGCTCTCAAGGAAAATAAAAGTCAACTTTCAGCTCGCCTTTTGAAGAAGTCGCTACATTGACCGACTGAGGATAACGGACACATATGGAACGAGTGAAACTTCATTACTATCATTAATTTATTCATATTACAACATTTCGTACAGTTAAGACGGTCATTTGAGCGGCATTCGATTGCCCTTACCTTCCTCCTTGTACTTATTCGTTGCAAAATATATTTTGTAAGGCCTTTATTTAACTCTCTTTTAACGGCATCGTTAAAATCTATAAATCCGGAATGAAAGACAACTGGTCATGGCTAAAGAATTGTGGAAAAGATGTAAAACAATTGGGGGAGATGAGCACTGACTCCGCATCAAATATATGCGCAATGCAGATCAACCATATCAACTATACACTTTTTTTCATTCCGAGTATTGTTCTGTTGAATGCATACTGAATAATGAGAAAAATAATGAACATCGACTGAACGCATTGAGTGTTAAAAACTACGCTGATATTTGGTTATTACAGTCGCTCTCAAAGCATTTGTCGCCGATTGTTTATTGTGCGTCCACAATAAAACAATGTGCAAATTTATAACGGCACATAGTCGTTTGGTAATTGTGAAAAGTTCAGTAGCCTCGTTTGGATTTGAACCCAAGCATGGATGCGGCCTAAGCATTTATGCAGCTGAGGTACGAGGCCACACCGAATAGCACACTGATCTTTCCTAATTCTAATCTCCAATGCGTTGGTTCGAATCCCACCTAGGGTACATAAATTTTAAAATTTTAAACATGACTTCACTCGTTCAAACAACCATTTGAAAAATTCTTAAGTTTATTTTGTTTTGGCTCATTCAAAAATGGTGCTGTGGTACGTTACTTCGTTGTCATCTATGTGACTCACATTCGATGGCCGTTTTGCTTAATTTAGTGAAATAATTATAATACTTCATAAAATATTTCAATAAAAATAACATGTCATCATTTAAAAACTAACGGAGAGCTTTCCAGATGTGGTACATATCGTCCCCAGACTCTGAAATAAGTAGGTAGAACCGAGCTCATGAGAAAGTTTATAAGCCCACCTAGTCGATGACGGCTTTGGTGATAATCCTGAAGTACAGATGCAACGAAAGTTATCGTTCAGAATAGTTTGTACTGTAATGCTTGGTAACGGCGCCAGTATTTTTTATTGTGGGTGCTAGTATCTCACTGGACCTTTTGGGGTTCATGGCGTTTCATGTGCTTTGCCTTATAGGTTTTTCTTTAACCCCGACCCGAGGAGGACCTGTCTGCCGGTGATTCCTCGCCACCCTGTGTCCCGGTCGTACTGCTGCCCTACCGCTGTCGTCCGTCACCCGCAAAGCCTCGTACCGTCTCGAGCTTTGAGAATACGAGCCAAAGAACATCATGTTGAGCATCTCTGTTCTCTTCGCTGCGCTGCGAGAGCCCGTAGTACTTTCGCATTACAGTACAGCTATGGTCGTTGTTATGCTGGAGTTGTGTAAGAAAACCGCGCTCGAAATAAACGACTTAACTGAAATCAAGTGCAAACTCTTGTTGTGTATAATTCGTGCAAGCATATTTCTAATACTGTATCCCCGTTTCCATAGGACGCCATGCGATTTGTGCATATTTCTCTAATTGATGTTCATCTGGGAGTTTGAATCCCACCACTGCTTAGTGTCTAGACACCCTTGCGGTACCCGTCCATCAATCCATGCATATCATATGCATCGCGGGTCTGGCAGGGATCAGTGAAGCTCGCTCCCCTGTACGATGAGGAGGAGGAGGACTGTTTCTGTAACTCTTGAAAAACAATTTACACAACAGTTTCTGAAAATTCGTTTCATTATCACAGTTGAAAAACTTATGCCACTATTGAGCAATGCCGGACCATTCCGGTGCATTTTCAAGCGGCATGCATTTTGAGTAAGTAATCTAAGGGGAAGAGGTTGAACCGACGAGGAAAACGCTGAAGTTCAGCTTGTAGAGCTTAAGTTATAGACATTTGTGTAAACCATGAAACGTGACTAGTTTATGTTTAACTGGTTGTGAAAGCTGAAACTGACATCAGTGGAAATGATCATAGAGGAGCACAAACATACACACACTAACCGGACTTTCCTCGCATGCGCGACTGCTCTAGTCACTTAGATCAAAATTACATTTAGTTTTTTATCCAAAGTGCTTATAATAGTAACACCAGATAGTTTAGATAAATTGTCTGAACGTTATCCGAGAAGAGCGACAAAACAACACTTATGGCGTCAAGTTGCAGTATATTTCCTGCTCTTTATGTCCTCTCCTAGGATTACGTTTATTGTTCATGCGTATGGTGATTGCTCTATATGGTACGAGGTAACACACTCTGCATATGGACTAAATGGTTTTTTTTAATAAACCGGATATTCTGGGGTTGGAAAAATGAAACGGGAATGCGGGACCAAAATATGGCATCACGCTTCGTTGTGTTGTGATTTCTCATTGAATGCATGTATTTCGTGATTCCGTGTGTCACTAGCACACACACACACACACACATGCAGTGTTAGCTGCTTTTGATGAAAACTAGCTCATCACTCCGGATTTTCCGCCGCTTCCTCCGAGGTCATCCCGGTCGGTGAGAGGTCTGTAGTCTCGCCCTGTACTTCGGATGGCATCATATCCGGTCCCTCGGTCTCACCAGGTTGTGGGGAGGCAAGATTCGATTCTGGCTGTTCATTACTTGTGTCCTGATTGGCTAACTCGGCTGGAACACCCTGTTGACCGGTCGCCTTATCCCCATCAGCTTTCTTCGTCATGTGAGAGCGTACAACTTTGGCTTTGGCAGCTCGTTGGGATTGCTTTTGTGAGTGTAATTTCATTAGTTGCGCCTTTTCGTTGGCCAAAGACAGACGACGAATATTACTGATGCACCCGGCAGCCGCATTTTGCAGTTCAGTATCCTAAGGTGAGCAGAGATAGTTCAAAATAACTTTGATTGTCGACTTGGAAAATTCGACCTCCACAGACGCTTTCGTTACTTGGAGGAAAAAAACTGCTTTGATTACGGTTATGAATTTAGTGAAATTCACGATACAAAAGACAAATGCAATCATGCGTCAATCAAAACTTTTGTCTTCACTCTAACGATTGTTCTGCATGTTGTGAAATACGCTATTTCTTTTGGAAGTCGCATTAATTGTTGCACTGCAATTGTATGAACGATTTTCTTTCTAACTTTTAGTTATTTCGCAATTTGGTGTATTTATTAAAGATTGACTAAGATAACAACCAGTCGCCGGTAGTGTAGAGGGATGCAGGAAGCCACCTCATCCTAGCTTAGAAGAACGTGGCCTGAACAGCAATTTCTTTGACTAACAATTCGTCATTCATCATTAGAGTTATATCTAAATAGGACAATTATTCAGATGAGTTTATTGCAAGGAACACTTACTTAAGGTCTACGTGAATTGGACTGTGCATTAGTTTCCTTACCTCAGTATCACCATTGGAAACGTTGTCTTTCTACGGAGAATAAAGTGGTTCCCATGGAAAAAATGCTGTCGTTCCCAGGAGATTAATCACCCCTATCAGGTTTCTGTTCCCAGATTTCGAACTACTATCTTCAAATTTGCCTTTGCCACAGGACTGCGAAATTGTGAAACACTTCTCATTTCCGTAGTTCCAAGCACCTATAATCGTACTCGTTTCAAAAGCCGGATTAACAAATTGATTCTCACACAAATGTACCCCCCACATACCACATACCATTACAATATGTCAATGATTATGGAGTTTACTCCCTTTTTGCTATGAATCACTTCGTGTGCAATAAAAAAAACTCTATAAATTGAGATGAACGTAGTGAGAGGACTTATTTCCTCGAGAATTTTATTGTCCAAAATCGAACTGTACGGAACAGATCAGCAAGAATTTTTACAAGTGGAATATAAAGCATTATCTATCAAATTTCCCTTTCAAACCAGATGCTGCAGCTGAGACACCCATCAAAAGGAATATAGTTTCGGACCCTTGAAAACACAGCGACGACTGTATCTGTATCTGTATTGTCCAGCGCGCATTATGAAATATGCTTCAAGCATTCTCACTACCCTGGCCCAAAGAAGATAATAATGCTTGTACACACTAGAGGGACTTAATATAGTTGAATTTGGCTAAATAATCCGAAGGTCATATTCGTTTGGGATAATTTTGACACAGCCCCTCCTTCTGTTTGACCCAAGCAGATTGTCGACCGATGTGGTAGAATGTGCGGGCAATAAACGTAGCTATGTGAAAATAAAGTTTTGGCTTCAAAGACGCTATAACTTCAGCCTGTCCGGTTCCACCGGTAAAACGCTGTGTGATATCTAATGCGTGGTGTAAACACAATGCATCTGGGATTACATAGAATTGAGAGAAAGGACAAGAGAGATTGGAAAAAAGGTCTTTCCAAATGGGTGCCTAAGACTTTCGGGCCAGACGTACTTCGTGGCAGCACACACCGACGAAGGGGTTTTTCTTGACGAGCCCCCAAAAGTCTAACCCATATTGCAGTATTGCTTAGATCCAACACGGAACCATGATCGAGGCACTCGTGTGGGAACTTCTACGGGCCTGTCACAAAAGGTATTCGGGTTTCGGTTCAGTGTGTTGTTCGCTGGCGCGTACTGGCTGCGTGTCTTGAACAGTGATGCTTGTGCATTTTCTCCATTTCTTTGCGACCAAGCTCAATGCACGATTAATGGTATTATAAAGTGAAACTGGAACTCTGTTTGACCTTCGCCTTTTTTCACTCAAATATGATTGTACAGGTTTCAGAAGGATTAGTTCATTGAAAGGCACTGTGCATTCTTATTTTTATCGCCATCTCTCGGGTACTGTCACTGAGTAGGTCACGTTGCAGCTCATTTGGCAGGTATTTCTCCTTTCTTAGCATCTGCTACTCATAAGCCTCTGAATAATATTTGTATTTGGGAACAAGTGGTTATCCCCATAATAATGATAATAATTATTACTATTTGCATAGTATATTGGTATACACGGAGAAATCAACCGGGAAAATGAATTCTTAATTTATACAGTCACCTGACTTTACCTGTGAACCGACCATTTGCAAGAGTAACTTTACCGCTCCGGCCTCGTGCATGACAACACAATTTTTTGGGTCCCGGCTGAGTTGAAACAGAGCACGCGCGGTCGATCGGTGCACATTTACATCGGGCGAATTCAGATACTGTACCAGCGGACTCACGGCTCCCGCACGCCCGAAATCGATCCGATTTGTTCCCCAAGTACAGCATCGTGCAATAGCGTCGGTCAATGGACAGCGCAATCGATCGTCTTTCTGTGTACAGTTTTTTGTTTATTCCAGGGTGGACGGGGCGAGGGGGTAAATCAATAATAATTAACATTTATGTTCACGGGCAACAGGCACTCGAATATGTCAGTATTGCTTCTATCGCTATGATGCGTTCAAGGATGTTGGAAACAGTGGAAAAGTACGTTGGTGATCAGTTAACGGCAAGAAAGAGAGACAGTGGACAACATTTCCAACTCCATCACAGTCAAAGGAAAAATATTTATTTTGTGAACAAATTTGAAAATAGTACGATATTTGAAAAAATATTGGATACAATATATATTAGCTGGTGTTTTTCATTCCCAACAACAGTTATAAAAGTAATTATGCAAATACAGTTCGCATTGGATCAGTTTATGTAAAAGAGATAGATATCAAACGGGAGCATGAAGCCCGTCAGACACTTAACCAGCAGTTTACTTATTATCAAAAGAAAATCTTTACATCTATTATGTGCCCTGAATGCTTGATGAACGATATAAATCAGTGCGAGGAAAACATTAAAAACAATACCGAGGTGGGCAACTCAGTTGGCGGTGGTGGTTGGATTCGAACCCATATCCGTGGGATGATAATTTGGTGATGTTAGCAACGGGCAACTGAACGCTTGGTTGAATTAGGTCTGACTGTGAACGTCTGTCTTTGGTAAAGGGTCTATGGTTGGTTATCAAGACAGATACGTTGTCGACTGTTAGACGAAACAGTAGCGATAAGAATTTGTTTGCACAAGTAATTTACGCTTGTGCATTCGTCCCCTCCCCCTCCCGTCCGCCCCCAGTAAATCAAGAGATCTCCACGATCGGGATAATTGAACAAGTCACTGTTTGATCGTTGTGAATTTGACTTCCGGCCTGATATTCTAATCATGGTGTCTTACCGGCTACCTGGACGATGAAATTGAGTTAACCGGAGTCACTTGATTATTCACTAAGTTTCCACCTGCAAAAGTCGTTTCCAAAGACTGAGTGCATCTTTACAATTCTTTTCAGAAGTTCGTTTTCATTCTAACGATCGGAGATTGTGAAAGAACAAACGCTGAGAGGCATCTGAAATTAAGTTTGACCAAGTTATCAAACGATCAGTGTATCCGCTTATACAAATTTCCCGCGTGACCTTCAGAATTAACTTGATTGTTTGCATTCATTTTCTCAATTATGTTTCAGTACCATCATCCTTCTATAATAAAGTAGCAACATACATACTTTTGAACAGAATACAAAAATTTTCATCAAATGCGGTATCATTCCAAAGAACAGTGATATAAACGGTAGGCAAATACTTGTTTATTCCGTGCCCTAATGAGATATCCCAAACACAATTTTACTTCAATTAGGAATAGTTATGCAATACTAAAGTGTCTGACTTTTTCCAAAATAAACCAAACATGTTTGCAAGTCTTATCTGTGTTCCGGTGATTAGGCACGAATCCACCCGGTCCGTTATTCACAAACCGGAATTGGGGATCAACATTATTTTTGGCGAACTGTCATGTCCTGGTAGTTAAATTTAAATATTTATTTAACTGAAATACGGGGGAGGCGGGCCGGGGGGTAGTAGTCCGCGTGTTTCAGAGTGGCTACTTGATATCTTTAACTGATTGCCTCTCGATGAGTTCCGAGTAGATACGTGTTGTTTGTGAAATAAAGGTAAATAAAGTTTTTTTTTAAATACATGAGCATGGGGAATAGTGGATCTATGCACTAGGCAATCAAAACACTTGGGCGTGTTGCTCAAATTCGTTGAACCAAAAGTGCTTTCGTTCACATTCATGACGAGAGTTGGGACAATACCGGCGTACTAACAGTAAAATGCTCCCATAAGAAGGTCGTAATGTGTGTCGGAACTGTTAGATAATTTCGTCGTTCAGAACACCCGGATTCAAAGTGACAAACACTGTCCGTTTGTTTTCGAACGAGCGCATGTCTGAGTATATAGGTTGGAAATAAGTCTTGATTTGATCGCAAATCATCAACACCAGATAAGGTTTGTCACCGCAATACAATTGCTTTTTTCACTGATTACAGAAAAATGAAAGCACTAGCCCATGAATCCACTTAGTATTTTTATGGCCTGCAGAAATTCAGCCGGGAAAAATGATGGCCGAGCACAGGAACCACTGGAGTGTACACAGTTCCAAATGTTTGTTCCGGATAGTTGGTTTGGATTTGAAGAATAAACCTGACTTAGAGCGATACTTCGATCAAATACAGATTTGCGTGTTCACATATTTTACCGCTCTTTTGGTTCAACCAAATTGTAAAACGGCTGCCGCACCGTAAGTTAGAAGCCATAAAAAGTCAAATTAGTATCGGCCAAATTTATCCACATAAAACATGACCAACACCCATGAAAACAGGGGACGGAAAAATTGCGTAACTCAAAGTATACCACATGTAGAAAACACTGAGAGAAGTGAACTGACATCCGGCTGTAACGAAGTCTTTAACCCATGCCATTCTTGTTGTTGCGTTGTCACCAAGCTTGCACGTAAGCACAGGATATATATAAATATATATATATATATATCAACCGAGCGAGTAGTAAAGAAGGCTGCAAAGAAGAGTGCAACTGCGAACTTTGAATGCAGTTGAACGCAGTACTACGTCTTTTCCCATCAAGTTTTAACCAATACCCGCAATCTTTTAGCCTCGACCCGTCATCCTTTAGCCAAAACCCACCATCCTTCATCCCTGACCCACATTCCTATAGTTAAACCCTGCAATATTTTAGCTATGACCCGTAGCTCCTTAGCCTTGGCGCACAAACTTCAGCCATACTGCTGTGAGGGAGTCTGATCAAAAAGTATTGGAATATTCTGAAGTTAACGGATGTTGAAAAAAATATTCATTTATTGTTTATGTTACAAATGACAAGGTGTGGGGATGACACACTGTACTACATGTTGACTGGAGAAGGTCTCAACGATTTGCCCGTATCGTCGAACCATTTGACACTTCTCGTACAACTTTAGTATTTCTGTGTAATATGCAATAATCCTGTGAGTAAAAGTCCCAAACGTACCAAAACCGGCATATTGTTTTATATTCACATCCCCTGAAATAAATCAAAAATTGATACCACAAAATGTAAATGCTTGACGTTCCTTACATCAAATTAGAGTGAGCTCCGCACTTAATATGTGAATAAACTAATGGGTTGAGGATAATAAACATTTTTCACAAAGTACCTCTCCCCCAGCACACTGTGTTTCCCAACAAGCTATAAACAAAACCCGCAATTCTTAAGCCCCGACCGTGGTAATTATATCAAATGTTATACTTATGGGGGTGTACTTTTGTGAACGATGTTCTGCGATCCTGGACATGTTTATGTAGCCACTTCTCATGAGCAGAGTTCACCTTTGAATGTATACACAATGTACCATTTTTGTTACTCACGCAGGAGTATCGCATGTTATATGGAAACACTGAAGCTGTGTATGAGATGTGCCGAATAGTTTGACGATACGGGCATACCGTTGGAACCTTCTCCAGTTCATGTGCCGGGTGTAGCATGCGACCATCACACACCAAGCTTTGCAACATCAACGTTGGTAGAAAGTAATTTTTTTCAACATTCGTTAACTTTAGAATATTCCGATACGTTTTGATCTGACTCGCTCACAGTAGTACGACTGAAATTCGTGCATCAAGGCTGAAAGGTGCTAAAAGGGTGATAGTTAAAGTTTGCGGGTTTTTGGCTAAAGGAATGTGGGTCAAGGCTAAAGGAGTGTAGTTTTTGGCTAAAGCTTGATTGGAAATGATGTATAATCTAGGAAGCACAGGATCTATTGTGCCCGAGATATCACGAGTGAAACAACTAAATCAAAGATATGAACTATAGTAGCTAAATTAGCAGATTGGTGATGGTACGAAGGCTGATGGTTACTGTAAAAAAAAGCGGTGTGTGATCAGTGATTTTTCTCAGGACTTGAGTAAAACAGGTGTACGGTAGATGTGTCGAGTGAATTCATCTTGTTTTTGACATGATGGGGATTACTGTTCACAGCTCTAATCACCGGTTAATCTCTTTTCATCAAAACCTCCGTTGAGCATTGTTGTTGGTAAACTGGTCAGCTAAATTGCTCGCATTTTAATAACCAACAACTGAAATACATCGGATCCAGGTTCATTTTAACCTGACGGCTTATTTTAAGTTTACAAGAAACTCGTCGTGATTTGTAAGATGTTTGATTTCAGTTTTCGGGTGGAGCCAGCAAGTGTTTTATGCAAATGCGTTTGTGAACATGTTACTTAGTTCTGATCAGAAGAGTGCCTATGTCATGCAGCAGAGTTACTTTAGACAACTTCACAGCTGGCGACAATTTGCGGTCGCGAATGGCGTATTGGCGTATAGCCTGTTTAACCTGTTAATCTCAAAAACCTTTTCATAACCATACCTGAATCCTAGCTATTTTTGGTGCATACCTTTTCTATCCTGGGAGCTTTCATTTTAAAAGAAAGTGGGGCAGATATGAATAGATTTTTATAGACAGCAGGCAACGCAGCAAAACTGTCATAATCAGTCACACGATCACCGTGTATAGCTGTCAAAATGGTAGAACTGATCAAAGTTGGTGGTAGCAGTACTTTCTTGCAGGTAGTAGTAGGTTAGTGCGTGTTCCGTTTACATTGAGCCGTATTGTGATGTAAAACGATACGTGCATTCTGTGTTGGTACATCGCCTGTTTAATTCGTTGCATTCGAACCTACTTTGTGTGTATGTGGATATGCTTGTTCCTAACTGCCACTGACCTACTTTTGTGCCTTCCTTTTGTCTCCCGAGGGCTTTTACTTCGACATCATAGTAAAAATGTTATGGGCATTCAAGCGGCGATAGTGAACAAGCATATTGCATTCACAGTGCTATAATCGAATACGGTCGTAGCGATGATCAGTTTTCTCGGGAAAGCTGGATTATCTGAGTCTTAGTTCGTGAAAGTTACCATGCGATGTGAATTACACATTATTTAAATACGTGGTCGTAGAGATATTTTGAGTAATACATTGCTCTGAGCTCGATAATGCATATTACCTGGGAAATAATAACAACTACACTGTTTTCGAATGCTGGAACGCTAGCAATGTTTTGTAATTCGATAGTAATCAAATGAGCCACATCGGTTCAACAAATTGTCCACCGATAGTAAAATTGGAGATAGCGATGCGCGAAACAAATTCTGATTTGAATGTGCACCTTCGAATGAGTAACTTTCACACAAGCTGAATTGGAACCCGGAATCTCGATGTAAGACACGACGCATGGAAGCGAACGTTTCCCACTAAAACTGGCTTCCTCCGATTGTAATACATGATAGTAATGACCTCTCCAACGACCAACTGGAACACCGGCAACGAAGATAGTCAGGGACAATTCTGTCCTGCTTTCGTTGATTGTCAGAACGATCTGGGCGAGGATGCTAGGACGATTGTAGCTTTACGACAGTCTCAATCATGGGACAATTAAACAATGTTTGTTGTAGCTTCGTTATTTCCAATCAAAAGTAAACTACTGTCTTCAGAATTGATTGCGACAAAACAAACAGTTTGTCGTCTAAAAAATCGCATTTGCGGGAGAAAAAAAACGGAAGAGACACTTAACGGAAGACACTTAACGGGTTCTGCATCGCAACATCAATGTTTCCTGATGCTCCCACGTTATTTCTGACAGTCAACATGAAAATTGTAACATACTGCACAATGACGCTCGTCTATAAATTCTGGATGATGAGATAGCATTTGAATAGGAGAGTCATTTGAATAAAGCACCAAATCGCTCATACACGTTCAGTAGTAAGCAGCCATTCCGCTTAAAATAGTGCAACAAAATTCACAGAATTCAAGATTTTGTTTGAATTTTATTTAAATAGTGTTTTTTCTTTGCATTCAGTCATCATTATTACTATTCATTGCATTGTTCTAGAGTTAAGTCGTCCAAACACTGTATGATCATGAATAGTGTAAAATGACGTAAATAATCACTTTCATTTCTCTTGTTCTCCAAATGCATTTCACCATTATTTTACTTGCTATCATAAAACTTTTGTTTTCTAAAAGATTATTGTACAGCGATTTGATGGGCCAAAGTCTGGATTTAAATGCGTGTGAAATATGATACGTACACTATAAGCACAGATCGGTCCACAAACGTGAGGCGTCAGAACACTTACCGTACACGTCAGTCTGCTCAAGAGAGGCACAACCCCGTGGTCCGTGATCACAGCAAGATTTTCCTCATCCACGGCGATTTTAGAAACTGCGGCACATACAGCAGCGAGGACGTCCAGGTTGTTGGATTTCAATAGGCTGACAATCAATTCCAGTCCGCCGACAAATGAGCGGACCATTTCCCCGGCATCCTGCAATCCAATGCGGACTCAGTGAGACATGCCACGTTAGACTTCGTAGATAAGAACCTCGGGATCAGTGTAATCAGTGGTTGCAGACAATGATTGATATGGTAGAGTGTCCTAAATGGTTGTGCTCACGTATGTACTGAATGAGCTAGTAACCATTTTCTACCAAAATTCCCTATTTTCACTTTGGCATTGCATCCAATCTTCCACAAATTAGTTCAGCCAAATGGGTAGCCAAAAGACAGTAACCGAAATCACAGCTCAAAATCCCGTGATGGGTGTTTGTAAAATCTGTAAACTGAAAGTGGTTTCTGCAAGCTTTATATAACATGGTAGTGTGTGAAGACAATAGGAAGCGATGAATGGGACAGATCCGCAATGAATAAGGGAAGCGCAAGCCTTTAACATGTGGAAATGAGGAGATTGTTTCTCAAAGCGGAAATGAAGTAAATCCTTTATTTATGCATGTTTGACAACATTTTCAAAACATCCAGCTAATGAAAGCTGCCCAGTATTTGTACCTGGGAAATATTTCGTGTTTCTCTGTATTGTCTTCAGTTTTTCGAGTGCTCGTGTTTCGTCAAACAATTATTGGCATTGGCCTCGCTTAAAGTTCCTCTGTTGCCGGATAGATACCGTCGGGCTCCGCCTCAAAATATACTGACACATTCGTGGTATATGATTGAAAGCAATACCGTTAAGAGAATACGCAACAAATTTGTTTACATTTGATCACAATGATTATGGAAAAAAGCACTGAATCTATTGAAATAGGTCACTGATATGTGTCAACGGCCATTATAAAAAAAAATTGATTTACCCACTCGCAGGCAAACCAGCACATGGCAGGAGTTGGTCCCCATGCACTCGAAATAAAATAAAATAAAAACAGAGCTACATAGATATTTTTATTTGCTTATTCCAAGCCCAAAACAGTTTTTATAGTCGAAAAAGGATCCGCCGTAATTACACGAGGCACACGGATTCAAAAACAAAAACAAAGACAACCGACCGCGTTCATGATAATTTCAAATCACAGTTTGGTTAATCCTGGGGACCGGACAGGGCCTAATGATGCATGCACAAATAGACCAGCAACATTAGGATTAGTAATTCAGTTTGAAACACATCGACACGACCAGAGAAACTGAGAATCTTGCCCGATTAAAAATTAGATTCAATGACCGGAACTTATAGTCAGATAGGAAGTATCAGAGATAGGACGAACCTAAAGCCCCGAGATAGGAAGTATGGCAAATTGCTGGGTCATCCGTTTGATTGTAAACACATTGCCGTAGATCAGTGCTCGGGCTGCATCGCTACTCCATATTGAATATTTAAGAACGTGTGGACTCCTTAAATTTGCTTGGAGAGAAGTAGAGGCGTGGACAGAAAGATTTATATCACTTATTTCCGCAATCGGAGCGTGAACTGAAAACCGGACGCGTTGGGGTTAGTCAAATATCCGGTCAGATTGTTTTCACTGGATGATACGATTTTTAGTAACGGTCAATTGAACTGGCTAATTATTGATAATCTGGACTAAGTTCCAATCATATCGTGGTGCATTTGAAACGTGTTTTTTTTTAATTTTGCACAACGATAAACGACGGAATTATATGTGACTTATTTTTACTGTTTATCAGTATGATATAGCAAAATGTATCTATTTCTGCGCTATAGAATCCAAATTAACAAATCATTTTAAAGTTTTCGAATTATGTGTAGCCCTGGTAAATGAGGAGGTGAGTTTGTCAAGCAAAACCAACGTGTTGCTCGTCACGAAAAAACATTTCAATGCACTGTTCAGTTACTACATGCTTCCAGAGCTCCCATTTCCAGCTTCTCTGATTGTTCAGCAAGAGCCTTCCTCAATTCGTTCCGTTCACAGAAGGACTTGGGTTTATCATGTAAACATCTCACAACGATTCAGTGCACATTATTGTTAATTTATTTCAGGAAATGTGGAAAAGCAATTCTATGAATCGAATATTTTCGACTAATAAAGGCGGTTTCGTGAGAAATGCAACAATGAAGCAATTCATGGTTTTGTTCAACGTCAAACCTCCTGAGACTGACCTCTTAAATAATGTGGAAGATTAAATGTTTTGAGTTCGCCCATGTACGTTTCCCAGTTATGAATCCATCTACCTTAGTTAANGCGGTGCGCTCTCATCCACCGCACACATTCAAGGTTTTAAGTAATCTGTGCTTTGGTCAACTGACCGCTTCTCTACACCAGCCAGGTCCTTGTTAACGTATGAATATATACTTTTAATGCAAAACGGATAGGAACATTCACTGTATTCTCCTGACGTTCAAATCTAGACTAGATAAATACTTTAAATTCTCAGTGCTAGTACTTCGATTGGAAGCTACAATCAGTCATCTTTATTTGGCTTTGTTTGATATCCTGTTGGTCAGTAACGTTTCGCGTGTTTGTCACACTTAATCGGGATGGGTGGATCAGAAAGTGGTTTACTGCGATCTTCGACGCAATCTCACTT